GATGCATGCTCTTCAATGCTGGAAGATGCACACACGCATCTTCAAGTCCGCACCGCACCGCATCGCATCGCATCGCATCGCAGCTCAGCTTAACGTAGCGCATTGCACTGCATTATGTTGAGAACCACACTAACTATTTGGCCACCATGAATGCTAAATGTTAGTCCGTCCTGCACTTTGAGAAGAATTGCGAGACTGCGTGGGGTGTGGGACGTCGGAGTTATATGTTTCCTACTTTCGTTCACTCTCGTGCGCTCTCCTTCTAGTCTGTGCAAAGTGGTTACTGATGGGCGTGGTGGTAGAGGTATCCATAGTAGAAATAGTTTTACTTGGTTTAGATGTCTAGGGCTCAGTTTGAGCTTGATTATTATGTGTGCGGTGTTGAGGAGGCTATCTTTTCACTATAAATGTATTGAATGAAACGATAATCATCATGTAGCTCCATGCATTTGTTCGTCGGCGTTGTGGATTACGGATAATGTGATTTTTGGAATCTCTTAACATGAATGTTAGGCAGGCAAATTGGTTGACATGGTAGTTTTTTAATCATTGATAACTTAGTCCTTGTAAAAGTGAGTTCACATGGTGAATTAAAGCCGGCATAAAATATGATTTCTAATGGGACAGCAAAAAATATCCGCCTTAATGGCTCCTTATTGCTGATTAATTCCTGATTCGCCTATTCTTTTTTGCTTTTAATTATCCTATTCCACTTGTACAAGCAACTTATCATTACCAATAAGGACTTCTTACTTATCCTGATGATAGGAGGACGACTCATGGAATCCTTTATTTCTGAGGATATACGACGAGAGAGTAGGTTAGTGTCTACTGTTGAGCCGGAATCCTGTTGAACAGTAATATTTCCAAAGTAGGTCAAAGCCGTTTGAATCGCCACTTTAGTGACTGGTGTTGAATAAGCCTCAAACAATTCTCTTTCACAATCAATACAGTCTTAAGTATGGAATGTTCTTGCTATTCATAACGAGGATATCAGTAACAACAGAAGTAGCGTTCTTGTCGGTGTGGATATCACAGGAACACAAATTCATACGGAGAGAAGATTGATATTGCGTTTATGGTATGTGTTTAGCTTCGGGCCAATCCGGGTTTCTACGAGGCCTTAGTAAGCCAGACAGTGGGTTTGAAGAATTCGGTGCTGGTTGAAATTGAGCGTGATCTTCATCGCTCCCTCCCTGAGCATCCGGCCTACCAAACACCTGAGGGTATTGCTGCTTTGCGCCGTGTTCTCACTGCCTACGCATTCAGAAACCCTAACGTTGGTAAGCCCATGACTTTACCGTTCCCATAGCAGCATTTTATATGGAAAACTAGTAGTCGCTCATTTGAACACTTGGATGTCCTTGTCAGGGCGATCGAAATTGAGGAGCTGTGTTGGCTACATCTCTCTCGCACCGTAGATTAGGGAACTCCAAGAGGGGACAGTATTTTGTGTGCCTAGTTGTACGGTGGCGAATTGAAATTTAGGAACAAGTTTTCTTCGCTTTCTATCCATACTGAAGAAAAAATCATCCACGACTGTTCCTAAGCGTTTCCTCAAAGTTGATTGTCATAAATGAGGTGTACTGACTATCCTAGTAATTTCCATGAAAATAATACATTGGTAAAAGCACTTTTCTTCAACACCAGCGTCACGTATTTGTGACTTCTCAAGTTCTACTACTAGGCAGGCGACTGGTTGCAACAAATCCGCAGCTTGTCTTGGAAAAAACAAATACAGC